CGCCCCGCGCGCCCCGCTACTTTGGCCGGGTTCCCGCTGGGTCGGGCAGCGAGCGCTTCCCAGGGTGGCGCGGGAGCGCGGGGCGCGGGCCTGCGAGAGCCGGGCGGGCTGCGCGCGATGAGGCAGCGGCGCCGGGAGCGGGGCGAGGCGGCGGGGCGAGGCGGCCCGGTGTGCGGGCCCGGGGGCGCGGGAGGCTGCTGAGACGCCGCGGGGGAGCGCGAGAGCGCCGAGCAGGGCGGCGGAGCGCGGGGAGCCGGCGGCCCGGGCGGCCTCCGCTGTCGGGCTCACCCCCTCCCCGTGGGCAGCCATGCGGGTGGCCAAGTGGCTGACCGGGCTGCTCTGCCCGATCTCGCTCCTCCTCACTGGGTCTTGGGAAGTTCGTTTCCACCCACGACAGGGTAAGAAGGTCGCCGCGGGCGCTGCCCGCAGAGCGCAGGGCCGGGTGCGAGTGGGAGGTGCGGACTCGCCGAGCCTCCAGGCCGGCCGGTTCCGAGCATCCCCGAGGGCTTCCCTGGATGTCGTGGAATCTCGTGCGCTGGGGACACGCTCTCCTCACCGTGGGGCGGGCACGCGTGGGGCAGCGGGCAGCGTGCGCCCCGAGGACAAGGGTTGCCGGAGGCAGGGAAAGGGAGAGGAGCTGGCAAGGGGGTGGGCGCTCAGGGCGGTGGGTGGCAGGGACCGAGTGGGGCGCATAGGAGCGGTGGGAAAGCTGAGCATGGTCACGGCGCCCACGTGTGTGCGTGGGCCTCTCTCGCGCCCCGGGGACTGACCGCGACTTGAGTGGAGATGCTTGCTTCAAGAGTTTCTGGGTTGGACAGCGTCGGGGCTTCACGGACGTTTCTCTGTGTGTTGCAGAAGCCCTGGTGAAGACTCTGGCCTCCTACGAAGTGGTGACCCCCGCGAGGGTCAATGAGTTCGGAGATGTGTTCCCCCAGAACCGGCATTTCAGCCGGAAGAAACGCAGCTCCGGGGTACCGGAGCCTCCTCCGCTCAGGACCCATTACCGCATCAGCGCCTATGGGCAGCTCTTCCAGCTCAACTTGAGCGCAGATGCGGCCTTCCTGGCTGCGGGCTACACCGAAGTGCACTTGGGGACCCCTGCGCCCCGGCCAGGCGGCCGCAGTGCAGAGCCCCCAGACCTGCGCCACTGTTTCTACCGTGGTCAGGTCAACGCGCGAGAGGACCACACTGCGGTCTTCAGCCTCTGTGGGGGACTGGTAAGCCTCACCGTGTCTCCCTGTGCGTTTTCTCTGGATCCAGTCCAGGCCTGCTTTTGGGAGGGAGTTTGGGGCGGGGGAATGGCAGGGTGGGGAACAGTGGCTCCTAGTAGATTCCTCTGAGAAAATCAGAGGGATCTCCAGAGAGAGAAAGAAACCCAGGCCAGAGGCTGGGAGAGCATCTTTCATCCACTGGACACATGCCCCAGTGGCCGTCGGGAGATGCCGCTGGGTCCTGTTTCTACAATCTCAGGGCAGGCTCTTTCACTCAGGCGCATCAGTACTGGGCAGCTGTTAGATTTAATAAACGAATGGGAAATCAGAGTGCTGGGAGGAAAAGGTGTTGAGATACACAAATTAAAAAGGCTCCGAAGGATGACAAGATTTGGAAATAAGTTTTGCTTCTGGTACACTAACTAATGTCCACTAACTAATCATCTGTGAGGCATAGAAGAGAAAAAAGTGGTATATGCCAACTGGTCCTGGAAAGATATAAAATATCCACAGGTATTGGATACTTTATCTAGTGCGGGAGAGCTAGAAATGACAGTAGTGAGAGAGGGAGTTTTATAACTTTCCTGGAGAGAGAGAATATGAAATAAGACCAGTGCTTCCTTTGATTTTCTTCCTTGGAAGCAGAAATTCATATCACCTCCACCCACGACTTAAGTCTGGAGGAAGCCAGGCTAGCTGTTTTAAATATGCGAGATCACGTGTGTCCTTAAAATGGGAGCCAACTAACTAAAACCTCAAAATACCACCAGGTCAACTGTGGTGCATTAATACACACTTGAATATGAAAGCCTGGAATAGGGAGTCTAGTATATTGCTATACTCTGTGTAATGAGTTAAAGCCATCACAAAAGGAGTGCCAATGTGACATGAGAGGATCATTTTATTGTGGACAAAGCTTCGCTGTTCCTGGTGTTACAGCCAAAGCTGAAGGAAAGAACTCGGCGACCAATTTCTCATGTCTGGAAGGCATTCAGGTGATTCCACAACGTCACCACTGTTTACTATTTGAGTCAACTATTTGAGTTCCTTCCACACAGACTGTAATGATGCTCACTTTCGGGTTGCTTTGGGACGTTGTCCCGGACATGAGCACTGTTCATTACTGCGCTGGCTGGTATTTATGTCGAGTGGACTTTGACACTCTCAGGCTTATCCTGGGACTGGTGGTCCTGGTGGTGTGAGAAATCAGGTGGAGAAACCCAGGAGCAAGCCAGTGAGTAGCAGCCCTCTGTGGCTTCTCCGTCAGCTCCCGCTTACAGGCTCCCGTGCTGACGTGCTGACCTTCATGGATGGTGGACTAGTCGCCAGATGACATAAACCCTTTCTTCCTCAGGCTGCTTTGATCATGGTGTTTAGCTCCTTTTCATGCTATTACTTCTGAAAAAAATATTTATTTATTTGTTTGTTTGTTTGTTTATTTGAGATAGGGTTTCTCTATGTAGCCTTGGCTGTCCTGAAACTCACTTTGAAGACCAGGCTGTCCTCGAACTCAGAGATCCATCAGCCTCTGCCTCCTGAATTCTGGTATTAAAGGCGTGCACCAAAAGTTGTTTGTGCCCAAACACCTCCAACAAGTCCATTCTTTCCGCTGTAGGTAAATGTAAAATATTTACATCATCAATTGGCAGAAGCACCAATAATACACACACATTTATACTTCAAGGAAAATTACTCTTTTTTTTTTTTAAGACTTAAAAATAAGGCTTAGTTTGTCTGGAAAATCCAGTTAATACTGTCAAGGTTGTTTCTCTATGGATATTTGTTCAATCCTATACCCCATTTAGTTGCTAGTGTTCAATTAACCCAAGGTAAGACTTACACTATTTTTTTCAACTTTGTATTATTAATTTTTAAAACTTTTACAAGTCTTTGTGTTTACATGGTCCCTGACCCCCCCCCCCCCCCATTTTACCATATCACAGAGCCTGGCTGATTGTTAAAATTTTTATTCTTAAGTGTTTAATGTTTTGAGCCCGAGAACAAGAAGGAGTTAAAAGTCTTGCCAGGATGTTTCTTCAGTGTGTGTGTGTGTGTATGTATGTATCTTGTCCTTCTAATGCTCCTTCTTTTCGGTTTTTATTTCCCATAAATAGTTATTCAAAGATTCAAAGATTTTAGAACACTGATTTATGTTTCCAGGCTGTATAGCAGATAGAGAAGTAGAGCATGTTATAAAGTATTTATGAGTAGTATGATAATGGCCTATGGAACTTATTAATCCACTGACAGGCTGCTACAGAATTATAGTTATCAGGATATCAATCCCCATACTTCTGATATTATTTGTGGTCTCATAATGTCGGGGAATGGTCTAGAGTCTGTATTTAGTTAGTTGGAATATTATTCTCAGCATGTATGTGACAGGAAGTAACACATAATATATTCAAAGACAGCAATCCCTCGGGGCTCTGATTAACTCCTTTCTCACATGGCTTAGTGGATTTTATTCTTCCATAGACTGTCAGGGACAAACTTGACCACCTAGAAATGAACTGTATTATTTCTTGATGGCACTGGAAACAGTGAGGTCTTGCTGATTGAAAACACACACATACACACACACACACACACACACAGTTTTCTGATGATATAAAACCAGATGTTGTACTTGGCTTGTACTGTATTCACACAGAGTAGCTTATGTGGCCATGTGGATTATGTAGGGATTTTTTACCATATTCTCCAGAGTACCTTATGTGGCCATATGGATCATATTCTCATAGAATAGCTTATGTGGCCATATGAGTTATGTTGGGATTTGTACTGTGTTCTCTAGAGTAGTTTTTGTGGCCATCTGGATCATGTTGGGATTTCTCATAGGAACTGGTGCCTGACAGCACGACTCCCAGTGAAGACTACTGAGTTGCCTCTATTAACCGCTAACAGGTAGTCCAAATCCGGAAACTGTCAATAAGTTGAATCCATCCTCGAAATAAATTAGTTTTATCGTTTTCTAAAGTTCCTCTTTAGAGAACTAAGGTAATCACACGTACCATTCTATAGTTTCATACTTTATCAATTCATTTATGAGGACAACTTGATGGTCTCCTTCCATCATGTGGGTTCTGGGGAATCAAACCCACATCTGCAAGCTCGGTAGCAGGCACCTTTAGCTGCTGTGCCATCTAGCCAGACCCCCTGTATTAATGTTTTTTTCGCAAATACTCAAATAACAATATGGGAGATTTTCTGCACCTTTACCTTTAATATTCTAGTGTGTATTTGCCCACATTCTTCAAGAAGCAAATGTCAGAATGTGATTTTAGAAAAACTGTTGAAGTAAATTTAGAAAATGAGTGATGGGCTATAAAATGTTTATTATTGGCCCTAAGAATATCACGGTGGTATTATCTAACCCGCTATCACAAATAACAAGGCATAGACACCTGTTAGATTTATAATTGCCTTATTTACCTTGAGCCAGGCAGATAATTGACTTACAATGTCTCAATATCCTCACCATCCAACTCCCAGCCCCCACCCAATGCCATCCACCTTACTCCTCCTCTTCTGGACTACCTTACATCCATAATCCCATGGTACTTGCTTATATTCTCCATCTGGGCCTTTTAATGCCATTATTGGAGTCCTTCCCCTGCCCACGTGGTGTTTTCTCCAGGCTAACCCATCCTGGCATCCTCCTCCTTCCTCTCTTCCTGTCTGGCTCCCTCCCCTGATGCCTCCTGGGATTCTCCAAAGCCAGGGGAACCTTAGCAACACCTACCCTATTCTGCCCTGCCCAGGTATAGGCTGTTTAATTAGCCAATCAGGTATAATGACTTAGCCGCCTAGACTTCTTGGTGAGCTCCAGGACATTGGAGGGACCCTGTCTCACAAACAAGGTGAATGAATGGTGCTTAAGGTGTTTATGACATCTGTGGTTGTGCTTTGACCTCCATACACAGGAGCACATATCTGGATGCAACTTTAAAAGGTCCCAATGTAGTCTTGGCTAGTTATGTTCAGCGCTGTCAAGGCCAGCAACTCATAGAAACTGTGTGTGTAAATGCTTAATGAAAATATGGTGTCAAGTTTCCTTAAGCAAAGGATATGTGAACTTTTAGGGTTGGATGAGTAGGAAGAAGTAACACAGAGGTATTATGATTGAGTCTTCCTATGCTTGATGGTATTGTGTGTGTTAGTTATGATATATTCATATGCTAGATAAATCAGTTAGATAGTAAGAACATGGAGCAGGCCAGCTGGTTCTTGGCTACCTCAGCCCAAAAGGGTCATGGTCATTCCAAAGTATCAATGAGAAGGTGTTTCTTGGCTTTTTTTTTCCCAAGGAGCAAAATGACTAGAAATGTGTGGCAGAGAGGTTTCCAGAAGGAAGCAAAGAACATAGATATTGGTGACAAGCAGCCTACCACAGGCTGCCCTTCTGTCCATCAAATACCATGTTGCTCTCCTCTTTCATTATATCAGCCATATTCATCTTGTCAACAAATATTCACAGGGGAACTGTCTCTTGACTCAGACAAAGTCACAGCACAGTGTACTCTCTTTTCCATATGATCTAGATATTTTGGGCTTGGCAGTACGAATTAGCTGCATGTTCTCATGCCCAGTACACACAGTGAACCCTGTGGTTGTTACCCAGCCTTCACTTCCCACGAGAAGAGAGGATGCCTTGTAGCTGGTGATCAGCAGGACTTTTGTTTCTTCTGTGGAAGAACTGTAGACATGCTTTGTTGGCAGCAAGGGAGTTTATTATTGCTCTCCATGATTCCTGTCTCTAGGAAGTCCGTCAGTTATGAGGGTACCATCCGCCAAAATGACAAGGTAAAAGATAACCTACGAAACATGCTATCAATAGTAGAACATCCAACATATACACGTGTTTGCATTTATTTATTTATTAAAATTTATTCTTCTGTTTTATCATATTTTGGCAGTGTGTCATGAATATATCTTGTCATATCCTTGCTAAAACAGCTCCTAATACTTTCTTGTTTTAGTTTTAATTTCTCATTATTATGGTG